ATTCTGATAGTTGGGATTCAGGTAATTGGGATCTGGGTAGTTGGGATTCGGGTTGTTAGGATTCGGGTAGTTGGGATTCAGGTAATTGGGATCTGGGTAGTTGGGATTCGGGTTGTTAGGATTCGGGTAGTTGGGATTCAGGTAGTTGGGATCGAGATAGTTGGGACCTGGGTAGCTGCAATCGGGATATGAGTAGGTAGAGTAATAATCTGAATATTGAGAATAATAATTTGGGTAGTTGCAGTTGAGATTCTGATTCGAAGGGTTCTGGTTTGGTTGATTCTGGTTCGATGGGTTCTGACTCGGAGGCTTCAGGTTCGATGGATTCTGGCTCGGAGGCTGCTGGTTCGTAGGCTGCTGGTTCGTAAGCTTCTGGTTCGATGGGTTCTGGCTCGGAGACTGCTGGTTCGTTGGCTGCTGGTTCGTAAGCTTCTGGTTCGATGGGTTCTGGTTCGTAGGCTTCTGATTTGTTGGGTTCTGGCTTGACAGATTCTGGCTCGATGGGTTTTGAATGGTCTGGTTGTGGCTTGAATTGTTCTGATTCGATCGGTTGCCTGTCGAGAAATTGACTGTCCATTGAATATTGGCTGTTATAACTGCATTTTGATGGGATGCTATTTAAATGAGCTTAGCCTTACATACTCGATTTTTTTTCTTATTTTACCTCATTGAGAATACCGAGCACGAGACAGAGCAGAAAGGAAGATCACGTGCCTGCTCGAGTAACATCCGATTAGAGGGAATGGTACAATACATTAAGGAATTTCCGAAGTACTATCGACTTCTATGCTCAGCTCTCTTCCAGCAAGCTTACTACACGAGTAATCTCACCAAAGCACAAATAAAGTTAAAATATTTAATCATTCACTACAAGTAAAATCTCGAGGACATAGAGTCGACTTCATTAGGGCTCGGCGAGTAAGATCCTCGCTTTCTGTTAAGAACCGAACCTGAAGCATTTATATGACATTTCAGCGTCGTTCCAATCCAAGTAATTTTGGCTCTAGATGTCGTTCGACACCATATCTATTCGCGGTTTTACCAGTCTCGCTCATTCCACTTCTCTCCCCACTCATTTCCATATACTCACTTGACTTGATTGAGGAGGCTCGAAGTTCAAATTTTGACATGGATGGTGCGACTGAGAATATTGCCGACATCTCCGGCCATGGGTTCCCAGTTCTGGTGCTCGAAGGACCGTTGCTGGGGTCCTGGACGACTCCCGCTCTTTTAGCTCTCGAACACGTGGCGAGTAGCTGCCAGTCAGAGTTTTTTTAAATATATATTTTTTTATTTTACGCCTTAAACATGAAATTTAATTTCTTCTTACTTTTAAGTCAGTCATAAATCATCATTAGTCATGTGTGTTTATACAGGGAGTACTAAGGGAATATTACGAATGCATTGCACTACTGCAAAAAGTGCAGTGTTTTCTGCAATATTGGAAGAGACGATGAAATTGTATATTCGTGAGATATCGCTCAAAACGGATTTTTCAAATTCCACGACAAAAAAGGATACGACAATGAAATAAGATAATGATGGGTTATATGGACAGGTCGGATCAACCCCACAGGCGCCCTTCAAGTTGCAACACACGCGCTTGAAAAGTAATCATAATGGATACAGACGTACTCCGAATACACTATTTACGCATCGTGCGTAAAATTCGGTATTTTCTATTATTATCATCTGATTTTAGGCTGATAAAAAATGAGTGCCGAAGATGTAAAGCATCAAATTTCGGTCACACGGACACCTCAAGCCCAGCATGAAACTAAATGATGCATATATTGCACATTATTCTGTAAAATATTAGTCCCTTGGTGCCAGCTGCCAGAACTCAGCGTCCGGCATGAAACAACGAGACAGCATAGAAGAATGGAATGCAGAAAGACAATCGCAATGGGATAAGTGCTCACGGCGTTGATGCTGAGAAGGAGCGGAAGGAAAAGAATGAGCTTCATCTTCTCTCTTACGCTGTAAATGAAGGGACTACTGCTTCTACTTGCTGTTCTGAGCATGCCAACTCGGAGAGCCAATTTATAGGAGAAAGAGTCCACGAGCAGTGCGTATGTGCGTGGCATGGTGGAAACAAGGTCCCGGTAAGAAGGTCTTTTCTGTATTCTGGTGTAAACAAGGCCTCGGTAGGAAGGTCACGCGTGACACGGTCGAGACAAGGTTGCAATAACGAGAACATCTGTGACAAATAATTGAGTCAAAAAAATAAAACACGCCAAAGAAGGAAAACACCGCTTGGAAGCTGAGTCAGAGATTAGTGTCAGACAATCTGGTAAATAAATGACGCAGCAAGTCAACGAGGAATGGACTTTCAGACAGAACACGACTTTTGCAAAGTTGCCGGCATTAGGATGGCCATTCCCAACAATTTCAGAATCGACAGCATGGAACTGCGATAGTGATCTCCTCTTTCTCCCTCTCGGAAGAGCGACTTGAGCGTTATTTTGCAGCGGTCCAAGGCGCCCTTTCCATCCAAGCATGGACCAGGTCAGGTTCCACGCTGGATCACGATTTCCGATCAGGCTGGTCCTTATTTGTAGTAGTCGGATTCGCTTTAATTTTCGGCAATGGGCAAATACGGTATACCTGCCCTATAACTGATACTCGAATGAATACAAATTTTCATATTAATGAAAATTCAGTTTCCAAAATTTCGTTTCCAACTGCGAGTCAATCCGATTTCTTCCAAGTCAAGAAATTATATTCTCAAGTGGTGATGTGATGCTGATAAAAGTTTCAGCAATCTTCCCTAATTCACGAATCAGCCCGTCTCATTTCGGTAACGAGTCATACCAGAGGCGGAAAAATAAAGCCCACTTTCTTTTTATAACATGGAGTCACATATGCAACAGATACTAAGCTAAAATGCATCTCATTTCCCACAGAAGAATACGGAAACGCAAGGGAGGATGGAAAAGCGAAAATTGCATGAATCGCAGCCAAAAATGGCATAGAATTAATATAGAGAATCTACGGGCTTCATTCGACGGAAGTTTCCTCTTGCCGTTCCTCCAATTGAATCATCCCGTGCTGAAACACCCCAAAACCATGCTGAAACACCCCAAAACCTGCTGATGATTCTTCAATATGAACTTAAAACTCGTCACTTTGAACGAGGATGAGCGTCGCAGCTAGTCTGAATGCGATCGGTGGGCCCGACGAAATCATCTTCACTACTTCAGGAATTATTCTACTTTTATTACCCTTCGAAAGAGATTTGTCGACACTATTCAAACACGTGAGAAGTACGCAAGAAAACGTGAATAGGCCTCGTTAGCGCTTATTACCTTTCTTCAACCTCTTCCCGCAGCAAAATTCCTCGTATTCCTCTCTGAGAGGATCAAGAGGAACGAAATTTGGCATACTTCTTCCTCTCTCACCACAGAATCGCTCCGGCAAATTTGAAGCTCCATCTCTCTGGGGTTGAGGAGAACACTAATCTCGTTTTCGAAGGATGTGGATTTCATTCCTTTTTTTTTTCTCCCCTAGGGAGTTTTCGGAGGAAAGAGATAAACCATAAGAAAGATATCGATTCGTAGATGACGAAAAGTGGCTTTTTGTTGTTTCCTATGCTCCATTTCGCCATAAAATGAAATTAGCTGTCGTTCAATTAGGCTTGCTCTGGTACTTTCCCCCAGGGTTGCCGGATACCGAGCCGAAACTATACCAGTTTCAAGACTGTTTCAAACTTGGTATTGGCGTCTGGATCTTATTTATTAATTTATTTATTCATGAGGCATTCTTGTGCTGAGTTCATGAGTTGAGCTGAGAATGAAGCGGTGACTAGCAGTTATTGATCGATGTGGTGGGATATGCAGATGTCTTATCCGGACATCCCTGAACCAACAGGATGTTCCACACCATGGATGGCATGCTTCTTGAAGGCATTCTCTCCCCAGACCTGCTCGAGATGGTTCGAGGAACTCCAGATAGGCCTGACGTTACACGTCCTCGCTGAAATGGTTCATGAACATACTAATAGGCCTGCGATTGGCCTAACGTTACACGTCCTGAACCATATGTCTGGAAGACCACATTCACCCACATAGGCCTAATTGGCGCCGTAAGTCCAGTATTGAGTTTCTTTTGAAAAGAAAAAGGTAGGCCTTGGCGTGACCTGAAGGCAGTCAAACGTCAAAATTCACATGCAGGGCGAACTATAGACTATAGTGTTTCTGACTGTCACCCCTACCCGTGCTAACCTTCCGATCGTACTTGGCTCAGTTTGAATTTGGACCATATCACAACTGGACCGCCGAGCGAACTTTTCGCGCCCGAACAGCGGATTCGGCAGGTCTCTTAACTTGAGACTTCGTGGGTATTCCAGCTAGAGAGGTGTGGTGTGATTCAGTTATCTCTGTTCAAAAATCCACCCTTAAACTTTTGGACTTTTAAACTTGAAACGCGTCCCGAAGCGATCGCATCGCTCTTGACTTAGTGTGGTGTGGAGAGATCGACCTTATGGGTGCTTCAGAGTTCAATTCTCTGGACGGCTTAGGCGACAAGCCCGCGCTTTTCAAGCGAGCCGCCAGGTCAACACTATACCAGGTTTAAGTTCACTCACACTTCACACTCACAAATGCACATGATAATTCATGCAATTTTCAGGAAGAAGCAGCAAACAGACGTTTCATTTCCTCCACGAAAATGATGGCATGGTCTCTGTAGTCGTGCGGAATCGAAGAACGATTGGTTCGCTCTGAACAAGGGTGATTTATTCAGAAAATGAATTGTGGATGGAAATACGAAGTGAAGTGAGAAAGGCCAGTCCAGGAAGGGAGGTTCTCAAAAATTTATCATTTGACATTCAGGAGAAATTTATTGATGAAGTTGAGATTCAAACCATAAGCCAAAGGAAAGCATTCTTCCCTGCCCTTGGACTCCATAGCATTTGTAACCAAAACCTTTAGAGTTCCCCGACATTGAATCTGTCACTCGGTCGTCACCCATGATCGTTTCGGTGGAGCCGCTCCTTCCTGCTTTCAAATCACACAGAGAAATCCATGTCATTTCATTCCTTCTCTTAAAAAGCGTTTTTGCGACGTATATATTGATAAAACTAGGTCCAACTAAAAACATGGTGGGTATCAATAGCGTCCGTATCCTCTGTAATCTCCGTATCCTCTGTAATCTCCGTAACCTCTGTAATCTCCGTAACCTCCGTATACTCCGAGTCCACCTCCTCCCCTGATCGTAAAAATGAATGAAAAACCTTCTCATCATACTCGGTTTCCGTAGACAGGGAAATGCAAAAGTCATTTATCATAGGAATTAAATGTTCAAACTGGTTGTATTAGACCTTTTTCGCTGAAATAAACACGGCGGCGAATACTACTATCGCGCATGCGAGTGAGAAATTTCCATTATGATTGCCGCACGATCTGGGAAACAGTACCAGGCAACCAGTTCCAACCTTTCAATCAGTGAAACAGATTCCTGAGAGACATGACTTTTGAACCATATTACTTCCTCGTAAAATATGCTCGAAAAGTATTCCTGTGGCTTCTTTGACAGGCCCGGCTCGCCTGGAAATCTCGTCCCCGCCTCATCTCCAAAAGGAGGCTGAGATAACTATTGCACTATTCACAACAGAGCCAAGTCACGAATTACACACCTCTGTTTCCTCATCTGTGCATTAGTGGATTCTGACAAACGTTGAATGAGGTCACCGGTGAAAAGGAATGAAAGCCGATACCAAGCGGCTCAAAACTCCAGACAGCAGTTCTCGATGGATTTTGGACTCGAGCTTTCCGGAAACCGTTCTTGGCGATGCTAGAAGCATAGTTGCTGTGATTTTCTAGGATCACCATTTTCTGGGGATCATTATTACTACGTGAAGGACATTCCAGAAAATTCGGCTGCCGTCAAACTGCAAATTTCCCTACGAGCGATGGCAATTGGTAACTTCAGACGATCGAAAGAAGAGAAAAAGTGTTGGTTTCAGTCACTTCCATAACAGCGAATTTTTTTCCCTACTCCAAGGTAGCATTCCATATTTTTAAAAAATTCCCGTCAGACTCACCCGAATCCACCAAAGACAGGCTGAAACCAGTTTCGGCCACCCCAAGGGAACAATTCTCCAAGATATTTAATGACGTCACCCTGCCTCAACTCAGGAGCCATGCCAGCGTCTCTCTTCGACAAGCCTTCCTTCGCGACTGAGAGCTTTTAAGAAAAAAAGGGAACAATTTTGCACGATCCTCCATTTTTAGCATGATTAATCTTTTATTCATCGCCTGCCACGCCTACATAATTAATTTAATTACTTTCCTCAAGGTTTATTATAGTTATTGCTCATATTCATAATAATTTATATACATACATTTTTCTTAATAGACAGTGTTCATATGGAGTTGTATACAAAGGCTTCTAGGACCTCATTGCAGAAGCAGAGTAGAAGAAACTTGTGAGCCTTAGGTGATTGTAAGATTTTCTAAATTAAAGGCGAATTATAAAGGGTTATCCAACGAAAAAGTAATAGCAACGTGATCAGAGAAACATCCATGGTAGATGATGACTTTCATTTGAATTCCCTTTCTGAACCTTTCAGAGAAGAATCGCACGTTAGCGGGAGAATGAGCGCCTTCGTCCCAGCTGCCTCAATCAATGGCCGACGAAAATGTCATTGCTTCAAATGGATCAAATAGGAGAAGTCGTGGAAACTCACGGCTGTGGCGGTTAAAAGGAGTGCAAAGAAGAGAACGAGTCTCATCTTCCTGTCTGCCGATGGGAGCTTCACAAGAGGTTCAGTTCGTGCATCGCAAGAGTTCCGCATGCCATTTAAAAGCGAAACCTTGAATCCGCACTTGTGTGACCTGATCAGGAGAAGGTAGCATTCGTATTGCGAGCGGTCTGGTGCGAACAAGGTCTCCGGCTGAATGTCCCAATCATTCTGGTATATTCAATGACTCAGTCACAGATCCCTGCGAGAGACGATTAGCCACAGAAATGCAAATTCATGAGCAAGATTATTAACGTGGCCATCGTCGCATGATGGTAGCATGAACGTGCGAGAGAGAAAGATTAACATCCGCAGGTTATGCACTACAATCTCTTGTTAAAATCTGGAGAATAGCAACCATGAGGGAAGAAATGGGGTCCAATTTTCATAACACCGTTCAGCGAAAGAGTAGGATCCTTGATCGGCAAACAGGTGGGTAGATCGATAAGCTTTTTTCCATTCCCCTTGCAGATGAAACCAATCGGCAGCACAACAACCAATGTAAGCCCGGAAGCAATTCACATGACCCCTAAGTTGCATAGCGTCATGCACGGCTCCAAACTCTCTCAATATCAAAGCCAAAACGTCCTTTCCGTCATCGTCACCTTCCCTTCTGGAGTTGGCATCGTGTCAAAGTAGGGGCTATGAAGAAGCCGTAATATTTGCAGCCGAATTCTCAGGGAAATTCCTCGGGGAGACTTTGGTTTTGTTGGCTAACGGTTTGAAGTCGATGCCACCCCTCATGTAACCACTGAAATAAAAATGCATACCGTAGTTGCAGAACGATGGGGGATCCAACTCATTCTGTAAAAATTCCATTTTAGTCCCAGGAATGGACCGGCATCTTTTACTTGTAGGGTCGTGAATGCGTGGAATGATCAGGTGCATTTGATTCAGGCCTACGATCGACTCGTCGGCGCCCGCATGGTTTTATCCGTAATGGAGAGAAGCGCCCGGGAAGTTCAGAATCCTTTTTCTTTTCTACCCACAGGTGTCTCTCTGGATGCAATCCGCACTCCGATCAGCCCATCGTCCAGTTGAATGGGGACCGGCTTGACAGACCTTTCGTCGCTCACAGATGGTGGAAACATGAACGGGAAATCGCTTATAAACGCCATGATTCCACAATCATTGGGCCTAAGGTAAAAGAGTCAAGTGTATGCAATACACATCCATTTTGGTGATGCATATGAAGGAATGTACTCTTTTCGTAACATGCTATACTTTATTCACGAATATATTTTTTGGGGTGGACATTTTGCAACATTTCTCACTTGATGTCTCGATTGTAAATGAAAAAGATTTCCAAGGAGAACCATGAATGAAAACATAATACCTAAATAAGTATTTTCCCCCATTCAATTCAATTATGAAGTTCATAGTATAGCAAAATACCCAAAAAAAGAGCACCTCATCAAGGAAATGATGGCTTAAAGAGAGTTGTGACTTTCGCGCTGCTCAAATTCGATTAATCGCGAGGAATTTAATCGATCAATCGCTCGATTCATCGATTTTTAATATATTAATCGATTAAATATCTCCCCATTAAATTTTCGATGATTCCTAAAATCGAAAATGATTTCGATTTAATCGAGGATGTTTTTGAATCGATCGACTGTCCTATTCCGTTATTCGTACAATAAGGCGCTCCAAGCATGATTGAGAATATTCATGGAATGGAAGAAATAAAACATTCTCCGTTTTCCTTCCGTCTTGTGATGGTGAAACATCAAGGTTTCGCCTGTTGTTGGCTGCATGTCATGGGTTCTGCGTGCCATTTCAAGATTAGTTCCGGTCATATGTTGGGTGTCACCCGACATCACAATTATATAAATTTGCAAGTCGTCCATTGTTCGGACTTCAAAAATATGAGTAATTTTAAGTCCAATGTGATTATTTAATAGAAAAGTCTGAATTAATAATTTCTTTTTGTAGAAAAAGTCTGAATAAATCATTTATTTTTGTTGAAATGTGTTTTGATATTTTTTCATTGAAATTAAATATGACCTGAGGGGACAACTAGTGGAAAATAAATATGACCGCAAAGGGTTAATCCTCGTCAGAAATTACAACTGCCATTCATCATTGTCTCTCTCTCAGGGACCTCGTGAGTGCGTCCTTCATTATGCCAGAAAGCTTGGGACCTTCAGACGAAGACCTTGTTCACTTGGAGCATGGATTGGAACCTTCACCGTGCAATGAGTCACACAGATGGGGATACAACGGCTTCGCTATAAAACGGCATACGGAACCCCAGCGATGAACACAAGTACGAACTGAACCTTGTGAAGCTCGCATCAGGAGACAGGAAAATGAGGCTCATTCTCTTCTTTGCACTCCTTCTAAGCGCCGCAGCTGTGAGATACCACAACTTGTCCTATTCCATTCATTTGTCGAAGCAATGAATTTATTTTCGTTGGCCATTGATGAGGCAGCTGGGATGAAGGCGCTCGTTCTCGTGCTTCTTTCCCTGAGTTTCACGGATTGCATTCAAATGAAAATCATCATCATCTACCATGAACATTTCCCTGATCACGTTTCCCATAAGTTGTCGAAGGGTAGTCCTTTGTCATTTACTTTCAATTCGGAAAATCTGGCGTCTCACCCAGCAACTCGTACTTCTTCACCAACTTCTTCGCCTCGGCCTATGTGCTCGGCGTATGATGGGCTTATTGGAGTTATATACCATTATTCCTTGTAGAGAGTAATGACTCTCACAATTTCTGAGTGGTGGGCGATGGATGGATCGTGCTGAATGCCGACGAACTTGGGAAATGGTTCTCTTTTATCTTGAAAGCTCTCAGTCGAGAACGAGGACGGAGATGCTGGTGGGGCTCCTGAGTTGCGGCAGACCCAAGTGGTGAAATTGCTCGAGGAATTGCTCGCTAGCAGTGGCAAAGGCGGATCTGGGAAATCCTCGGGTGGGGGCGGCAGTGGTGGGGGTGGAAACGGGTGAGTCTGAAGGAAAAATGTTTTGTTTTTATTTTATGGGGAACGCTAACTAGGACTATGGAAGGAATTCGCAATAACGGTCGTGGCTGGAACTCACGCTTTCTCCATTCGCTCAAGTTCTCTTCAGGTCTCTCATTCTCATCACGCGGACGCAAAGTTTGACGGAGTTTTGACGGCAGACTGAATAATCTTTGACTCGCAGAGGAGCTTCCTTGGAAATGCCCTTCATATGTCGCGAGTGCGCGGGTGTGCGGGAGGGCACAGGAAGAATTTATTTTTGATGATGTTTATTCCAGCGATTAACAGTTATTTTCTTCACTTCTTTTTTACTATCAGGGCAGGAAGCCAATCCGGAGGGCAAAGCCAGTACGGACAGTATAATGGATACGGAGGATATGGTGGAAGTGGATACGGAGGAGGATATGGTGGAGGTGGATATGGTGGAGGTGCATATGGTGGAGGTGGATACGGAGGTGGATACGGAGGAGGATACGGAGGAGGATACGGAGGAGGATACGGAGGAGGATACTATTGATTGATTGCCAGGTTGTCCATTGATCAAATTTGTTTTCCTGAATAAATCACCCTCGTTCAGAGCGAATGGTGCGTACTTCGTTTCCGCACGACTATACACACTTTCCCATCTACAGTATTTCGTGAACGAAGTGAAACGTCTGTTTGCTGTATCTTCATGCGAATTTGCATGAATTCTCATGTGCATTCGTGAGTCAGAAAAGAGGATGATTTCCCCCCATCTACTTTCATATTGGAACGTCTTCCTGAAGCGATGAAAACTACTGACCTTGGGGTCCGAGAAGACTTCCTTTATTTCCCTAAGTCTTTACATGTTGCGTGGAAAAGCCCAGGCTCTTGTATCTCATATGAGAAGGGTGAACGTGGAAAATGGCAAGCAGGAATATGTAAGAATCATCTCCTTGAATGAAGACAATCTACTAATGTTTCTACAAGTGTAATTCCTTTTTTTTTGCTGGATAGAAGGTTTTGTGTCACTCACGTACTCAACTCTATTTCTGACTTAGAGAACCTAGAGAATAAAATACAACCTCAGTGGGTCTCCTCATTAGTTCTCAATAAAGAACGATCAAATCCCGGAGATCCTTTATTGACCCTTCATTGGCTGAACAGTATGATGAAGGAAAACTTGCTCCCCATCCTTGAATCTCCATGGCCAAACCAATTGTTTCGTCGGTCATGGATGCGTCTCGTGACTGCGTCCTTCAGTATGCCAGGAAACCTTGGGAACTTCGGACGGAGACCTTGTTGCTTGTTGACTTGGAACATGATTGCAACCTTCGCCGAGCAATGAGTCACACAGATGGGGATATAACGGCTTCACTATAAAACGGCATGCGGAACCCAAGAGTTGAACACAAGTACGAACTGAACCTTATGAAGCTCGTATCGGCAGACAGGAATATGAGGCTCATTCTCTTCTTTGCACTCCTTCTATCCGCCACAGCCGTGAGTTTCTACAACTTGTCCTATTCCATCCATTTGACGAGACAATGAATTCATTTTCGTTGGCCATTGATGCGAATTCAAATGAAAATTATCATCAACCGCGAACATTTCTCTGATCACGTTCCCCATACGTTGTTGAAGGGTAGTCCATTATCATTTACTTTCAATT